CTTTTTCTTTAATGGATTGCTTTTGCACTTTGTTTTTCTCTTTAATTTTATTTATTTTTATATTGCCTTTAAAAGAAAAACTCAATAAAAATAAGCTGTCTGTTTATCATCTATCAAAATCAAAACATTTTCAAATTAAGAGATAAATTCCCAGTACCCTCTTTTGTTGTCATTACTGGATAATATTCTGCAGGTCCTGCCCTGGACTTATTGAGTATTCAACTTCCCTAATTTAGGGCAGTTTTAGTACATCTGGAATGGGGAAACTGGGGGTAGAAAATTGTCATGATTCCTAAACTTTAATCAGGTTTAAATTTACATATTTTTTTTAAATTCCTCCTTTATTATTTTTACAGATAAGTTAAGGTGATACTCTGTTTTTGTCCTCTTTTCCTTACAATAGCAATCCTGTAAAGCGAGTTGAGAAAGTGTATGACTGGCCCAAGTCACCCAGCCAGCTTTCATATCTAAGGAAGAACTGGAATATGATTCAGTTAAAAGAAAAGTTTTATTCTTATTGACAAGTTTCAACTTAATGTTCGTTACCTTTATTTTTCAGAAGTTTTTTTTAAAGAACACAGATACCATTCAAAGTAATCTTTTAACAGAATTTAAAACCAATCTTTACAATCTCTTATATACAATGTTCCAAAACATAAATGACTATACATGATGTGACTTTCAAATTCTTAGGTTTTCTGCAGTGAATTTTTAATTATGTGAAAGTTTAATCCACAGCGGCTGTGAAGGTGATCCATTCTGATGGTTCCTGTAAAATTCTGCTTGTAGAACTCCACATTGGGGTATCTTTATATTTTTAGATCCACTTAACCTGGTTTTGATGGTTTTATTTTTATTTTTTTCCAGCTGGGATCAAAATGGAAATAATATGTTTTGGACATCTGAGAAAAACAAATCCTTGCTAGTATCCAGAGGGAAAAAATTACCTGTCTGACTGTGCTGAAGCTAAACTTATGGTATGGAGAGTTAATTAGCTCCTGCTTTGCTCAAAAGAATGACCAAGAGCCTGAGGTTTATTTCCAAATCATGACAATCTTCCATCCCAAATCCTTTTAATATATTCTTACCAAGCTGGTATTTCTTTCCACTCTCTTCCCCCAAGTGTAGAAAAATATTAAATTAAACACCAGCTTCAAAAGCACTGGGTGTTGTGCCTTCGTGATTGTTCAGAGAGAATCCCTGGGGCTGCATTCTCAGCTGAACTCGAAACTCTGAACTTCCATGACTATTCCTGATTTCTAACTTCTTTTAGTGTAAAGGCCTTGGCTTCATGCTGAACTGAAATGCTGGAGTGACACCCATCCTGAAGACCAAGCAGCAGAAGACCAAGCTGCTTGAAATATGCTGTTTCTCTTGCTGATTCTTAACCTGCCTGCATTACTTTATTATTCTTAATAAAAGGAAGCACACATTCCCCAAAACATAGTGGGCTTTAAAATGTAAATGATAATGCTCTATTAATATAACCAGCTCCCTCTATCATGCCTTGGCAGTAGCCATTCTGTCAAGTTGTAGTAGAGGGAGCTATGCTAGGACACTCCAACAGGGTCTCTTTTTTCAACTATTTCCAATCCATCTAAGAAACAGCAATTTCTTTAAAAGGACTAATTGTATTCTCCAGGCCCATCCCTTAAAGTAAGCATGCCAAATGTAATTGAACCTTTATGTCATTTTCCCAGATTCCATCAACCAGTTGCCACAGAAAACCAGTTTGACCTATTTTGGGCTCTGTGATTCAATTACATTGTGTGCTTAGATAAAGAACTCATGTTTATGTGCATTTCACCCACTATCAGTTTCCAAAAACAAATTTTGTTTTTCTTTAGATTTGTTTTGCTCACAAGATATAATACAGTTGCTTGAAAAGTTTTCAGATTTTAATATTGGCACATTATTTTGCAACAAAACAAAACAAACAAACAAATCAAAAAAGTCAATTCTATTTTAAAGTTCCCATTATGCTCTATGGAGGATCTGATCCAGAAGTGGTATTCAGCAGGTTCTGACCAGTTCTGGAGAACCGGTAGTGGAAATTTTGAGTAGTTCGGAGAACGGGCAAATACCACCTCTGAATGGAGATTTTACAGTATCCTTCCCCTGCCACGCCCACCAAGCCATGCCCACAGAACCGGTAGTTAATTTTTTTTTGAATCCCACCACTGATCTGATCCATTATATAATTTCCTCCAGTTAGGACTTTTTCATGGTGACTAACAGTCAATAAATGAACCAATTAGGACTAGAACAGAAGAACCCATTTTTCCCATCTGAAATACTTCCAAGCAATATTTGATTAACAGGATGACCTGTTTTTCATTTGCCAAGAAATATGAGGAATGGAGCTTCTCCCTATAGGATTTGCTTTCATCTTTTTGACAAAAGTAGTGTTAAACCAACACAATGCAAGTCATGAGCCTTTCAGAGAAGGTTGTAGTTGATCATCTTGCTTCCGTGGCTATCTTCCCTCCATGGATGTTACTCAGCAACTTGCTGTGGAAATCACAGTTGACTGCCTTTTGGGCAATCATAAAACAAAATTCAGCCCCGTTGCATCACTGGACATTGTGACAATGACTTTCCTAAATCAATTTAAAAAGGGTATGGATTCCTTATCATGGTTTAAGTGGACAAATATCTATCTTTTCAACTTTCAGGGTGTAATCGGAAAGTGTTGCACTTTCATTTTGTCCAAACTTTCATAAATTTTATGAACATCTGAGAAATTATATAGGCAACAATATTGTTGGGATATAATGTTCATAAAGAAAATAAGATTGATATCAAGGTTTGCCCAAATCAAATATGTCAACAACTAAGAAACACATTTGAGAGTCAAATTATATTAGCCAAGCCATATGCATCTTAAGCAAAATCACAAAATATTGATGCTTGAATTATTTTAGTGAACAAGAAGAGTTATTAGTAAGATTCAAACTAAAGATGAGAATAAATTGAGAAATGAGATAAGAAGCAAAATGAAAGACATTCAAACTGTTTTATAGGTGAGTAAGTTCTAACTTTAGGTGGGTGGCTGATAAGATCATAACAGTGCACCATCACTCCCATCAAGAATAATTTACAGAAATATACTATAATCAATTTGCTGCTTGAAATTCTTACAAAATTATCTGCTTTATATTTTGATAAGTATTGTATTTTCACATGAGTAACGCCATACTATTTACAATGGACATGAAATAAACACTAATGATATTTGGCACTCTGTACTATTTTTCAGTTCTTTTATAGCTCGCTTTATTATTTGGGGTCAATACTATAAAGTGAGTGATAGCAGCTGATAATCTGCTCTGGCAGATTTGATTCTGATGCAGGTCCCTGCTCCATTGTTAGATAGAAAAATACATTACAAGACAAGAAGGATTAAAGTGGGAACTATATAACTGGGTATACTGTATATGTCATCTAGGTGTAGTGACATTGAAATATCATTCAGGTGTAAATGAAGAATGCAGAATACAGATGCTAATGTGAAACAGTTAGGCGATTCTTGCCTCATTTAGAGATCATGACAATAATGCATAATCCATGTCCTGATCTGATGATTTCATAGCAGGGAAGTTATTTCAACTTTCAACGGAGCGCAAGTCATTAAAACATCTGTCTTCTGCCTGTTCTATTAGAGCATCAGGAGTAACGCAAGGCTGCTTCTTAATTTTAGAAAGTGACTGGCCCAAAGGTAATTTCAATGGCCAAATTAAAATTGGATTGTTTCTGGCCCAAATCCAGCATCTTACCCACTTCATTATGCTGGCCCTCTCATGAAATGTCCAAAACGTGCAAGAAAAAAAAAAAAAGGGGGGGGGGGGGAAGGAAAGGAAAGGAAAAAAAAAGGTAGAGGGGGGACTTTGAAAGTATGCAATACTTTTAAATGAGAAGGTCATGAGGACTCTGCTTCACTCAGGTTGAATTTTACTCCCGGCTTAAATGGCATGAGTCCACATTTTAATTTCAGGAAAATAATGAGGTTGGATCCGGAAAGTTATGTTTCCTCTTGCAGGCAAAAGAGGCTATTATTCATTGCAGCATTTCTGTTTGTTGCCAACTATACTTCACAAACACACACACACACACACACACACACACACACACACACACACACACTATCTTCCTAATTTTTTTTCCCAGGGAGCTGCTGACATATGCAGCGTCTTCTCTGAATCCCATTGCATCTGCCAGCACCTTGCCTTTGGGAATTTAGCTTTGGTTTGAATAATTACAGCATCCTGTATTAGAAGGGGGTGTGGGGAGAACCCCAGAAAAGGAGCTCTGGCAGAACAGGTGACACCCTTTGAAGAAAGTATAAATAGAGATAAGTGGGTAGTGGATCCAGCAGTCTTACTTTACGTCAAGTGGTGCCTCTTGCTTTCAGCTTAGCATTAAGGAACTTCTCTGCCACTATGAGCTGTGGTCCAAGACACACGGTCCTAACAGCTGGGAGAAACAGCAGTGGGAGCGGCAATCTTGGAGTGGGGGTTTCTTCTGTTGGCTCTGGGCGATATACTTCCTGTGGGCTAGGCAATGAAAGAGCTAGTTTCTCTGGACGGAGTCATCTTGGGGGGAGAAACCATTTCTCAACTGGCAGCTGCAGTGGGGCATTTGTTGGTGGTGGACATGCTGGGACAAATGGTAGCTTTGTGGCCAACTCTCATATGGGGAATTCTGCTGCTAGAAATGGTATGGTAGGTGGTGCTGGTGGTGGCCATGTAGGTGTGGTAGGTGGTGCCCATGGTGGCATGGTTGGTGGTGTACCAGCTGCTGTGGTTAATGGCATGGGTGGTGTAGTTGGTGCTCACCATGCTACTATGGTAGGTGGTCCTTGTGGAGTGGTTGGAGCTGTCCCTGCTGGCATGGTAGGTGGCATGGCTCATCCAGGTGTTGTTGGTGGCATGGGTGGTATGATAAATAATCCTGGAGCAGTTGCAGGATTGATTGGAGAACCTGTTTGTGGAGGTATTTTCTCTAATCTGGATGGGAAGATGACCATGCAGAACCTCAATGATCGCCTGGCCAGCTATCTAGACAAAGTTCGATGTCTGGAAGAGGAAAATGCTGAGCTTGAGTGCCGAATCAGAGAATTTTATGCCAAGCAAGGCCCTTTGTGTGAACCAAAGGACTATGGTCATTACCATCAGCAAATTGAAGATCTTAAAAACCAGGTAGATGCCAGTTATCAATCTTTTTTTTTCATAATTTTTACATGCATTTGTTTGGGACAGTTGCAGATAATAATAATTCCTGCTTAGTTAAAGTTCATAATTCTGTAAACTTATTTTGCTGATTTCTAAAGGTTATTTTATTCTTCTGATCATCATATACGAAATAAGAACCAAGTAAATTTTGTTAAACATGTTCTTGCACTCTAAATTCTATAGTCAGTCTGCTTTCTCAAAATAATGGTGGTAAGGGTTTGGTGATGTTTCCACATTATTCTGTCATTTGGATTCTACAAATGAATGCAGAAATGAATGAGAAAACTTTATTTCAAAGGACTACCAAACGATTATTTATATTAGATAGAACTCTAGGTTTATTTTATCTATAGATGCTGCTCCTACTGTATTATGTTGACATGCTGAGCTAGTGAACCTTTTGATAATTTAAGATTTTTTTGCTAGCTTGGTACAAAGTCATCATGAAATGCAATATCTAATCAATTTTCTACATGGAAGTAATCACCGTGATGAAAAATTAAAGGCATCCCCAAGTTATACAAGTCAACCTTTGGAAGAGGAGAAAATTAGCTATGAATTAACTACATTTTAGTCACCACTTCCAATTATTTACAAACTGTAGAGGATCTGCACTCACGAGGTTGCTTGATTATTCTTTTGTGCTTTCAAATACCAATTTAGATGTAAATGAGCATATATCTATAAGCTAAGCAATGAAGCTTGTGTTAGTTCAACGAACATCTGATACGGGTAGCTAAATGTTAATGTTAGAACTTTACATGAAAGGCAAAATCAATATATATATTCAGCAATGCATTTTTCCCCATTTATGCAGCTTATTTGTGCAAGTGTGGAGAATAACAAACTCCTTCTGTGCATTGATAACAGCAAACTGACTGCTGATGATTTCAGATCCAAGTGAGTACTTTTCAGTAAATTAAATGCAGATGAACTAAAAAATATTTGTTTTACTGAAAGTGCAGGGCTACTTATGGAATTGCCTCCATGGGCATTATAGGTCAAGACTTTTAGAGAAGAATGTCTTTTATTTCAAACAATAAGGCAAGAAGAAGAATCTTGCCATTCTCTATTTTGGGGTGTTGCTTCTGCTTTCTCTAACTTGGAAATGCTTCAGATTTATGGGGCTCAATTTCCAGAATACCTTAGACAATATATTGTTGTGAATTCTGGGAGCTGAAATTCACATACTTGGGTTGCATGAGAGTTGGTAAAGGCTGCTGTAAGACAAGGAAAAGAAAATGCAGTTCAATATGCCTGGAATTAGAACAAAGTTGGTTCTAGCAGTGTTATTGTTGAAATATTTGGTAGCTTCTTTTATTTCTATCTTAAGTTTGCCTAATATGAGATATGTTTTCCTATTATATGGTATTTAAAACCTAAGAAATTATGTTGCACTGAACTGCTTGAATAAAATCTGCAAATTTCTCTTGTGCAGGCCTACAAGCCAACCAGCAAAACGTTTATTCTTTTCTCTCTCTCTCTTATGGCTCAGGTATGAGACGGAATGCTGCCTCCGTCAGAATGTAGAGGCTGATATCAATGGACTACATCAAATCCTGGATCAGCTGACTGCCTGCCGATCTGATCTGGATATACAGTGTGAGAACCTGCAAGATGAACTATGCTGCCTAAGGAAAAACCATGAAGAGGTGAGGGTGATCATTTCCCCATTCAACAAAATCTAAATGCATCATGGAAAATAATAATTACTTTATTAGAAAAGTCAATAGACTTCTTCCTAGGTCAGTGTGGGAAGCTATAGACCTTTAAGTCAATGTTTCTCAGCCTTGGACTTTTGACAAAATGGCTGGCTGAAGAATTCTGGGAGTTGAAGTCCATACATTTCAAGTGTCCAAGGTTGAAAAACACAAAGCAGTGTCCTTGAAATAAATTCATTCCTCACAAATAACCACCTGATTGCAGCTGCTGCAGTTAAGAATTGTATGGAGGTCTACAATTTCATTACCTCTATGCTAGAGGGATAGACAATTTCACTGAGTTTTGTTGAGCAAAAATGCCCATATTACAAAGACTAATGATTAAATGAAGTTTGTAAAGGTGAACATTAACTAAAACCTCTGAAATTATTATTTGATCAATTTTGCTAATGCGGACATGTTAACTAAAGATCTTGCCATTTCACTAATATGGTATATTTGTACACATCAGGCATTGCTATTTAATATCATGATCAGTGTACTTCAAGAATTAGCAACAAGCTACTTGGTGATACCATTGCATTCTTTGCATCTTAAAAATATCTTTGTATTACCCCTCCAAAAAAATAAAATGTGCAATATAAAAAATTAGAACAGCCAAAGGTTCATAAATTAATTATTAGATTTTGGAATTCCTGAATGAGATCTTATGATCTCAAAAGATCTCCCAGCTGACATTTCTATAATCTCATATGATATTTGGCAATATGGTCAAATTTTGTGGAGTAGGCAGGACTGGAATAGATTTCTAGCCACTTGTCTATGGCACTGAATAATATCGCATAACTTACAAGATGGGGAGATCCAGATTTTAATTCTTCCTTAGGCATAGGAGCCAGCTGTGAGATCTTGGGCTAGTCATACTTTTTCAGCTCTGATTAAAATAATAAAAAAAAATAATTTACCAATGTTCACCCTGCAGTGGACTGATCTGGGAAGATGATGATAATGATAATTTATTAATATACATAGACATACATAGTTACAGTGCAGATATATTAGTAAAAATAGGAAATGTTGGGAAAATAATAAAATAACACTATTAAAGTGAAGTTATAGTTTCACTAATTTTGTGCATTCAAAATTCATAGCATTTTATGTATCTTTTCATGCAAGTGATATTTTTCATTTTTTTAAAAAATGCACAATTTGAGTTCTACTGGTTGGGAATATTTGGGTTTATGTCTGTGTATATGTGTGTTCCAAAACAAAAATGGAGAGATTTGTAGATATTGTTGGACTAATTCCTATCAACTTCAGCCATTTAGTAGAAAGAATAATGGAAATTTCTATGGAGATTCTCAGTCATCGAGATCATGGTTGTCCCAAAGGTGCTTTTTCAAGAGGCAACTGGACTTTCTAGTTCTTCTTTAAAGATGTTTTGCTTCTCATTCAAGAAGCTTCTTCAGCTGGAAGAAGTTTCTTGGATGATAAGTGAAATGGCTTCAAAGAAAAACAGAAAGCCTAACTGCTTCTTGAAAAAGCACCTTTGGGACAATAATGGAAATTGTATTCCAACAACAATCAGAAAGCTACAGGAACACAAGTCTTCCTTAGTTTAAAAGTGGGCCAGCTAGATGCCTTTTCAATCACTGAAGGAAATATTTCCTTTTCAATGAACAGCAATATATATCCCTAGGAAGTTATCTGAAGATTCTTCCTTTCATTGGCATCATCATTGCTTTCAACACACTTAAAACTGGGGGACTGCTACAGCCCCAGAAGCAATGTATCTTGCCTCTTTGAAGTTGATTTGCCCTTTATAGTCTCCATCAACTTTGTTTAACCAAGTTGTCAGAAAGTTCATTTCGGTTAAGAAGAGTTGAACAGAAAAAGAAAGGTCCAAATGTCAAGGACTTTCTTTTATTTGAGTAGGAAGTTACCTGCCTGAAGAACCAGGCCTCTGGAGATGTCAGTGTGGAAGTGAATGCCTGTCCTGGGCCAGATCTTAAGAAAATCCTGGAGGAGATGAGATGCAAATATGAATCAATGATTGAAGGAAACCGCAAGGAAGTGGAAGCATGGTATGAATCCAAGGTAAGTGAAATATCAGTTTTTCTTAACCTGGAGCATATCTGGTGTGCTCTCACATTCACCAAACATCACGGGAATTGAATCTCAACACTTCTGAGATCATATAAGATAGCATTGTTTTGCATAATTTTTTTGGATTGGGCTGCAATAATAATTTTTTTGATTACCCTTAGTCTTAATTGGAGAAAGAAGGTTCTGTAAATAACCATGTCCAATCTATGAAAGGCTTCATAGGTCATAACCAGCACTTTGAATTGCACCTGGAAACCATAGTAAATAACAACAATCGAAAAGTAGAGATGTCACAAGTCTTATCATGATAAGCCATATCTTGATAAGATGTAGTTTCTGAGCGGTCTTTAAAGTTAGAAAGCACATTGCAGAAGTCCAAATCAGAGGTGATGAGGACTCCCAGATTGTAAACCTATTCTGTTTGGAAGTTATACCCCATCAAACCAGAAAAATCTCTGGAAATGGTTGATTCCTGAACCCCAAGCCACTATGGTTGAAGCTGAACTTTTTCTTCCCCATCTAAACTCTTACAGATTCTTAGCACATAGATGATGATGATAATGATGATGATGATGATGATGATGATTGTGATAGATAGATAATAGTCAGTTGTCAGTGCAAATCTGCTTGGAATTTTTTTGTGAAACTTTCTTTGGTAGGATTAACTCAAGAGTCAAATTGTATATATTGCTCAGCTATGTATCTCTCTTAATTGTATAACCTCCAGATTGAGGAGGTGAATCGTGATGTCTGCACTAGCAGTCAGGAGATTGAAGAAAGCAACAACAAAGTCACTGAATTAAGACGCCAACTACAAGCCCTGGAGATTGAGTATGATGCCCAGTGCAGCCTGGTAAGAGATCAAGAGTTTCTATAGAGTTGGAGGCACTTGGAATAAACAGCAGTGGACAAAGCATTGCTGCATCATGTATAGGCAAAGCCTACTTTATGTTAATCATTTTCTCTCATCCCCAGGTTGTGGGACTTAATCCCCAAGGATTAGGAGAAAAAATGAGACATAAATGCAACAATCCATAAATTATTAAACCATAGCTTCATTTCATTTTTGCTAAAATGGAGAAAGCAGGTAGAGGATGATGAAAGCAGAAATGGGAGACTGTAGATATTATCACAATCAAAGCAGTTACTAAATTGCATTCATAATGTGATAAAAAAAGCCCTTTGGGCTCTCTCTGACCCTTAAGAAACAGGTTAAACCTTTCATTCAGTTCATGTTTGCAAACTCTCAGCATCCCATTAAATCATTTCCTCTGACACTCTCCTTTTTTAACAATTATTGTGTTCTCTTTTATTTGTCAGAGGGACACCCTGGAAGCTTCCCTGGGTGAAACTGAGCTTCGCTATAACAGTCACTTGGCTGAGCTCCAGGACCGCATCTCCTGTCTAGAGCAGCAGTTGGCAGAACTGCGGTCAGAGATGGAATGCCAGAACCATGACTACACAGAGCTCCTGGACGTCAAAAGCCGCTTGGAGAAAGAGATTGCCACCTACCGCGGCTTGCTGGAAGGGGGACAACATGACATTGTGTAAGTGCCATCCAGAAATGATGGTGTTCCCAATAAATCCTTGAATGGAAATTTTAGTTAAAATAAAATAGGAGAGTAATCCAGAATTGTGGAGACTTGGTGATGCGGGATACAATCTGGGTCAATCACCAGGACCAGATGTCATCTGAGCCTTTAGATTCATTCTGGAGCCCATCATCAGGCTCTTATTCACATTTGTATCTTGGGCAGCCCATTTTCTCTTAAACTAACCAGCCTCTTGATTTTTGTGATATTGAAAGCATTGCTCAGTCTTTGTGAAAGAGCAGAAAATTCTACTAGCAGCTTAGAATTTTCTTTATCATTGATAATCCCTATCTTACCATTATTGTCTTTATTCCCATTCACCAAGGTCACCTGCCTTCCTCCACAGTAATAGTAACAAAGCTGAACAGACTCTATAAAGTTTGAAACTACCATTGGATAGTGTTTAAATTAGAGGAAAATATTGCTTTAACATGGATATGCCTAAGAACCTAATGGATGGGTTTGAGAAAAGAAGAAGGCAGCATCAAGGGAACACAGCAGAAATAGGATGTTGCCAGGGCATGTTTTCAGGTGATTAGAGGCAAGTGGAAAGGTCTCAAGATACTACTGGGAGATGGTCTCTTACAAGATCCATATGACAAGGAAGCTGAAATAGTAAATTTGCCTTGAGACAGGGTCTGGACTAAGATATCTATTAGTCCTTACCATCTATAATGCTGTGATTCTATTTTTGGTTTCTGGCATAAGGGATCCAACAAGAGATGAATGATAAATCTACAGACATTGCTTTGAAACAGGATACTGTATATTTTGCTTCTACTCCTTGGACAAGTGTCCTGACAAAATTCCTGTATGAAAATGAACTTTTCAGTAGGCTGCAAGGCAAATTTTGTAAGCTGAAGTTGTTAGTTGACTATGTTTCTATAGCAAGAAAAAAATAATGTACTTTGAGATCATCCCTTTTTAGTGGATGCCAAGAAGTTCAGGGAATTCTTGCTTTAACCTAATGATCTCTTCAATTAGATTTGAAAACAGTTGATGGCCAAGATGTTGGTTGGGTGTCTGTTGCTGAATATTGGTTTCTAGTGTATGATTTGTTTTTAAGTTAATATCATTTTCTCTCTCTCCCCCTACAGTGGTGGTGGAGGAGTCAATAGAAGCAGCAGTACATCAGGTGCAAGATCCAGTGAAGCTCGGACACCACACACTTATGTGACCCATTCATGCCATGCAGCCCATTTGCATCACTAGATGACATGAATATGAGGTCAGAAGCATTTTTTCTTGTCTGAAAAAAAGGGTGAAAACATGGTGGGATTTTGTCATCTATGTCATGTGCTGGGACATATGTCTAGGAGCTCCTAGGTCAAGGCCCAAGTAAAATGTCAGAGAGGAAACCTCAAGAAACTTGACGTATAGGTTGTATAAGAATCTAGTTGGAAGTCCAGAACTGGATGCAATAATTCATAACTATAATCTCTGATGCAGTTTGCTGAATTAAATAAAGCAACATATAGGTATTCCTCAACTTACAACCATTCATTTACAAATGTTCACTGTAACATTTGAAGTTATAATGGCACTGAAAAAGTGACTTATGAACAATCCTTGTATTTATAACTGTCACAGAATCTGCATAGTCTTAAAAAAAATTGGATGCTTAGCAACTAGCATGAATTTATAATGGTTGCAATATTCCACGGTCATATGATTGCCATTAAATCCTCCTGATGAACGAAGCTAATAAAGGAAACTGGGTTTGCTTAAAAACCACACAATTCACGAAACAATGCATTGATTTGCTTAACAATCATGGGGAAAAATATCATAGTTTTGGGTGCAATTCACTGAACAACTACATTGCTTGGCAATGGAAATTCTGGTTGTGGTTGTAAATTACTCTGTAAACACTAATATTCCCATCTGAAGGCTTTCCAGTCAGTTCCAAACCAAAACCTACTTTTCATTTATTTAATGGAAAATAAATTTGAAGACCAGCAAGGAATTAATCATTTAATTTAATTAATTTCTTCATTCACATTTCTGAAGCAGGAAAATTTCCTAGAGCAAGTTGTACACCAGTACAACTAGAGCACCTGCACTCATACTTATTAATTCAGTGTAGACTTGATTCAATTTGCTTGGCATAGATGCAACAAGACACTTTCTTTTTCAAGTCTAAAGAATGAAATACAGTGAAAAGGGGAAATCTTAAAACATGTGCCAACTATGAACAGGTCTGAAAAATTCTATGAAAAATATAAATACATCTTCTTAAAAAATAGCGAGATGGTCTCATAAGAATGACTTAAAATATAGTTGTTAAGCACAAGTGGTTTTTTTTTAAAGATCTTCATCAACTCCAGCTATAACAATAGCAACACTACTGAAAAAGCCCTATGAAAGAGTTCCATAAATACATGGGAAGCAGGAAGCCTATGCAGGCCATAAGAAAAAGGGTTGTATGGCGAATGAGATGGCACTCACACACACCTTTTTTTTCTCCTTTCTGGGCGTGGTCCACTCTAGCTTTTTGGATATCTTAAAACTCCCACCTGTTTGCAACATTGTCTTTCACTAAATGGAATAACTGATGGAAAATATACTAGCCATTAAAACACTCTCTTCAGTAAATTTCCTGAAACATATCAAGAGCAAGGAACACAATGTTTGCAAACAATTTTCTTTCAGTCCCCCAACTTCAACCCAGCCACACCCAGTTGAATCTTCTTGTATGAATGTTGGGAGCTTCCAAAATATATTGCCTGTTACTTAAACTGTCTGAAATTTTCTGGTGTTTTGAGCACTTGTATACAGTAGCACTGGAATCTCTTTCTTTGTAGTAATTTCATCTTGTTTCTCTTTATCTTCAGACAGCTGCAGGAGAAGGGACAGCGGGTCCCTTGCCCCCAATGAAGCATTCCTGATAGTTCTTCCAACCTTCTGTCGCTTTACTATCCCGTGGTATTTTCAAAGCGGATGTGAGGGTGTCCACTCCACTATCTCCTGCTGAGTCTTTCCCATTTTTCTGCAACATAGCATTGTTTTTTTACCTAAGAAGTATCAGTGCCGTGGTTGCCTATCTTCTGACCACTGAAAGCAACAAAAATGTCCAAAATAAATCTGCTTTGCTCTTGTTGACATCAAAGGCTTGTGTGTATTAGATGTGTCTTTTCTTATAAAAAGTAAAACATGTTAATAAGGCCAACCACCAAGTCATCTTAAGAAAAGAAAGTAGCCTAAGATTTGTACAGCATATCAGTTCCTTGACTAAGAGTAACAAAAAGATATAAATTGTAATATATTTGCACCTATACAAAATTTTCTTGTAAATTAACTAGAAACATAGAAGAATGCACATATCTATTAATATAGTACAGAATGCCATAGTACAATGAATGGTTTCCATGTTTCCATGTTTCCATTACATGGTTTCCATGTTTCCATTACAATGGTTTCCATGCATATAGTCACTGTGTTTCCAGAACTGGGAAACAGGACTTATCTTTCATGCTTCTGCTAGACTGATACTCAAAGAAAATCTTCTAGGCAGAGATTCAATGACATGGCCCTTGATAAACTAGTTTTACTACAGATACTGGAAAGTGAAGAAATCTAGCAAGTGCAAAGTGTAATGTATAAATCATGTATATAGCAGAAGAAAGATTCAGGAGTCAGGTTTTTTTCTACTACCCATGCAGTAGATGGGGCTAAGAGCTGCTTGTTTTTTGATGGGACAAGAAGTTGAAATCCATTTATTGTTACTGTTCATTCTCAGGCTCTTTGTCCTATCTCACTTTCACACTATTCTGGCTGCAATACTGATCCTTGGGCTCTGAGATTGCAGTTCACAGATGCTTGGTGAAAACAGAGAGTAGCGTGTTAGCTTCCGGTTTCTGCAAAGTTATCACTTCCTGACTTTTCATCCTTTTTTAAAATTTGGCTAAAAACAAATATACAATAGCCATATTGGAGTCAGCACCATAGCAGATGCAACAAACCACACTTATATTCCTTCCCTTTTTTTCTTGTTTCACACCACTACCTCCTAAAATGTGCAAAGTAACAGATTTTCAGATTTTGTTTAGAACACTAAACACTAAGGAAAGTAAGATTTTGTGCTAGCAGCAGGAAAAAGAGCAAATATTTAGTTAACCATCTGGTGTATGTTCCCTTGGAGATATTGGATCTAAAATTAACCCACCTATATGATATATATTGCTGACTGGGTTTAGTTGTTTGAAAATATCTTTCCATCCAGTTAAGCATGTGGTGCAAACAGGTCTTAATCTTAAATAACTTGATCCCATTGATTTCACTGATTAACTTTGGATCCAATCCATTGACTTATTCAGCTTTTACCTAGAAGAAATTATAAGTGCATTTTCCCAAACAAGCAGAATGAAGAGAAAGATCTTCGAATTTTTGGAATATATCTTTAATTGCTTGTTTCCTCATGCCTAGAAATAAAATAAAGCCAGTAACATGACAATGGAAATTAAAACTAGGGTTGCCACAATGTTTCCATGCTTCCATGAATAACAAAAAATATTCAAAAACTGATTATTAGGGGCAATGTAACTCTCAGTCCCAGTCTTAGGGGATCAACATTCTTAGTTCCTGTTTTTGGGGATCAATACTGAAAATATTTTATTGCATGCATTCCTAATTTGTGTTTTGATTCACAAATAGTAATTTCTTGAGAGTATAAATACAAATAGTAATTTACATTTCTTGAAAGCCAGGCTAAAAAATTACATTACCAATAGATGGCAATAAAGATTTAGAATTTTATGTGACTGATGCCATTTACTGGTCATCTGCATTTTTGCAATCTAACTATAATAGCCTTAAGGAAAACGTCTAATTGAATTTTCATGTAGACTCCTAGAAAAAAATTCAGAAACTGATGATGAAAAAGAATGACATTAACTCAAGAAGGAAGAATAAGAAATTGAGCAAAATCCAAAATAACAAGAGTCATCTTAGTCTAGCTTCTTAACTGTTTATTAAGCCAAGTAACCAAATACAGTTGACCTTTGTTTCTTTAATAGTGAACTCATGGCTTTTTAAAAAATTGGTTGATGAATAGATGGATGAAATTATTCTGTATATTATTAGCAGCCATAGATATAGAGAGTTTGAAGAACTGAAAAAAGGGACTTAAGGTCACAAAACATATCACTGTATCAAAGGGGGCATCAGAAAGGTTTATAGGAATTAGTCCAAAATTGAAGAATAAAAGTGTAGTTCAAGATAAATATGAAATAATGTAATCTGAAGCAAAACTTATTCCTACTTTTACATATTTTTATTTTCGTGTATTTCCTGAGGTGATGGAATCTTGTGGAATAGGTGGCTTATTCAGTACAAATGTTGACCAAGATATGATTTCAGTGAAAAGCCAAAGTCAGTGATGAGTCTCCATGGTATTCATGGGGAGGAAGTCAAAATCTAGGTGAGGAAAGATGTGGTCACAGCCTCAGTTCTGCCCCTTTTGTGTATGTATGTGATGCTGATTAAATACAGTAGCTAGTATTTTGCAAATTATGATTTCCCCTAAGGATATTGTTATAGGGAATCATAAAAAGATTTTCTTTTTAAAAAAACTGACCATTATTCTATCCTGTTCTATTTTTGGAACTTACTGCAGACATTTCACCTATCTTGGAAGGGACAGAAAGTTGTATAGATCAACCTTTCAGCCTGAAACAACAGCTTTTCAAGGTTGAATAGAAGGGACAATGGATAATGAAGGTGAGTGATTCCAGTTGAGACTTTTGTATGGGGAGGATCTGTGGGTTGGGCGCAGTTTATAGGCAAGAAATTCAGTATCCTAGCTTCAAAAACATAACTGCAACCTGAAATAAAAACTATATTTACCTTTTATGAAGTTAGGGTGCTTCAGAGATCTGATGCATCCTTTTCAGACAAACTGGTTCACAACTATAACATCAATCATTTAAACTCATCTTGAGACTACCCTGAAATAATTTTTCCTGCAATTACTATGCATCATTTATGGCTATTTATCAGAACCTTTCCATTTTAAGTATGAAAAAGCACACAAAAATAATCAGTTGAATTGTACAGCATTAAAATGCTATGTTGCATAACAAATGAAGGAAGCAGAATAGTTTGCAGGTTATGCAAATCCTTCCAGCTATTGAATAATCAAATTACTTTGTTTCTAATAAAGTGTTGCTGACCAAACCTGGAAGGTAATTTAGTCAATTCAGGGAAATACTGAAGTGTCAGCTGTCTGACAAAGCACATTTAATAAGCATTGCAAAATGACATTCTTCATTCACTCTAAATTTAGGTCATCAACTTGCCTGTAAGGCAGCCTCATAAAACTTATTCAGAAAGATAAGTATCAGCATGTCATCATCATCATCGTCATTGTTATCATCATTGTCATCATCACCAACCCCTTTGTTATGGGCCATGGATGCAGATAAGTTTAGATAAGCCCTTATTTTCATCTCTCCTCAGGTATCCAGAGAATAGGAAAGTAATCAGCATCATACTTGAAAGCAGAGTTTTCCAAGTCCCTTTATTATACAACTAATTTTGTATGAAGTTTATAATGAAACAAGAAAATGTAACAATCTTAGTTTTGGAGCTGCTATGCCACCCATTTTGCTCTGCCAGTGAAAAAGAGGTCAAGTGCTGGGGAAAACAAGATATTCTTAGGACTTTGGAGAACGTCTGGGAAAAATCAAGGCTTGTTTCACTAAGCTGATGCCCTGTCCTATGTGCCGGGCCCAGCAAGTCTAAGCAGCTGGTGCATAGAACGGGGCTGCACCGGACCATTGGAGAAGTGGAGCAAAGCCAGAGATCAGTAGCTGCCTCTTTTGCAGTGCAGAAAGCTTCCCCAAATTGGCTGGCTGATCTTCTCTTTCTCCCTCTGTTTGTTTTGTATGGCCAAGGAGGAGACCAGCTGGCCAAAAGGGCGGCTGCTGGAGGTGACTCTTTTTCAGTCTCCAGCCGCCTCTTTCAGCATAGAAATCCTCCCCGAATCGGCTGGCTGGTCTTCTCTTTTTCTGCCTGTTTGTTTTGTATAGCTGAGGAGGAGGAGACCAGTTGGCCAAAGGGCAGCTGCTTGAGGTGACTCTTTTTTGGTTCCAGCTCCCTCTTTCAGTGCAGAAATCCTCCCCGAATCAGCCGGCTGGTCTCCTCCTCCTCAGCCATACAGAATAAATAGGCAGAGAAGGAGGAGACCAGCTGGCTAATTCGGGAAGGCTTCTTGTGCTGTAAAAAAGGTGGCTACTGATCTCTGGCTTCGCTCCGCTTCTCCAATAGTCCGGCTCTGCCCTGTTCTATGCACCGGCTGCTTGGACTTGTTGGGCCTGGCATATAGAACATGGCATGCATTTTTCGGTGTGGCTGCTGGGTTGCATCCACACTGAAAAAAGCATGCAGCAGCTGCAGGCATCTCGTGACAAGGGGGACAAGAAGCCCCGGGATTTTGCTGGCTGGCCGGGCTGGGCCGGGCTGGAAGAGGCGCATCCGCCAGGAGAAGGGAAAAAACGTGCTCCTGGAGGGCGGGCAGGTGGGCAGATGTCCCAGGGCTGCTGCACAGGCACACTGCATGTGTAGTGGCTGCACATGCCCAGTGCACATATGCAGCAGCCCTGCGACATCTGCCCGAGCTGCACCACGGCTGCCATGTGGTAGGGAAAGCTAGAGAGTGACCGGGGCAAGTGAGTGACCGGGTGACTAGGCGACTGGGTTGAAGGTGTGGCCAGCCAGGGTCACCACCAGTTTGGTGACCCATGCCAAATCACTGCTACCAGTTCACCTGAACCAGTGCAAACCAGTTGAATACCACCTCTGCTCTAGAGACCCCAATATGAAGAAAAAATTGACTAATTTTGTTTTGCAATGCATCTTTCATTTCTTTTAAAAAAGGAGCGCTAGACTGCTCAAATGATCAGGAAGGAATATCATTCAACAAAGCAGGGGAAAAACAAAGGAGAAGAAGGACAGAACTGTTTTTAGTTGCCATCTATATAAGCTATGACTGTTGAAGGAAAAACATACTCTAG